GGTTATGTTGGTTTAATCTAATTAGTCCTTTAAGTCATACTTGTACCATACTTCTATAAAATAAGTATTCTATACAGTAAGTATTCCGTTCTCTTTCTCTACCCAAAATTACTTATAATTCCATGAATATAGGGAAGTATTCTATCTGCACCAGAATAAGGATTAAATTTATTGTATTTGATTTTTGTCTTGTAATTTCAACCTATCCTGTAGAATATAGATTTTTCTTAGCCTTTCCACAGTCATTATGTGACTCTCAGAGGCTAGAATCATGAGATATTTTTCCACTTTCTGCTGCTACATGCTATTTTCCATAGGATGCAGAAAAGCAGCTTTGCTAAAGCTGATTTCCTTTATGTGCAATGCAACATAAAGAGCACCGAGAGATGCCACAAGCAGATAACATAGAATGAAATATAATCGGTCTTCATTTACACTGTTCATTCATGTCTCTGGCTTTGCCAAGCATAATATGGTATTCCCTCTCATGAAACATCGTTGTGATTGTTTCTATTCTTCCTGCACACTCATAGGTTGCACTGAAAAATCCACTATCTGATTAGAAAATTGTCTGAGCAGATTTTCTTGTTTCTTAAATATTCACTATTAATTTTATCTAGCAGGCCTGTAAGATCAAGGTTCTGTTATTCCACAAGCTATATGAATACAGAGCTTACATAAATTATAGGCTGTCTCAATTTCAAATGAAATGATGCAGTTCTGAAGTAGACATTCTGTCTATTTATTGGGCATACTAATTTTAATTTCTATTAACATGGAATGTCTCTAACATTAAATGACACAAATCTTATCTTTCTGGTGGACTGCTGAGATTGCTGACGTCTAAATATTGCTTGTACTAGCCAATAGTGTTGGAGAGTAACTTCAGTGAGTACCAGCAAAGAGAAAAAGCTGAGCCCAGGTTTTGTAAAGCTCATTTAAAGTCTTTTTTTTTTCCAAGTATTTCAAACACTGGAAAGTGTTAGAAATTAAGTAAAGAAACTGTACCTGAAATGTTACGATAAACACTAATAGAGATGGGGAAGTGGGAAGAGTACCTGTTATCAACTATCAGGGAGATCAATCTCTAAAATTGCATCAGCTCACTTGAGTACTGCAGTTTTCTTTTTGTTTTACTCTTATCTTCTTGATTGAGCTAGAGTGTTCTGCATTTATACTAGTAGGGGTGTAGTCAGTTAATCAAGGGAAGTGATTATTCCCATCATAGAATTTATTATACCACATTTAAATACTGTGAACTGTTCTGATCCCCCAGTACTTGAATAAAATTGAGCAAGGGTCAGTACACGGCTTGGGGTCTGCAACATAAGACTTGTGAAGAGAGGCTGAAGGAGCTAGATTTTTTAGCATCAGGCAGGAAGCATTTTCCTACTAGGCACTTTCTAGTAAGAGGAATTGATCAAAAAATATATTTTATCAGAGGTTTTCAAGACCTTTCAAGAACCTCCTGATCTGAATTAGTGTTTGACATTACACCAAGCAGAATACTGGCTTATGTGACCTCCTGGACAAACCTGAATTAATTCTGTATTAGTTATCAGTGTATGCGTTAGATTGTTCAGTAAAATTCCAGCGAGTAAAAATAACTTTTGCAGCTAGATATTTATTTTAAATCTCTAAAATATATTTGTTTAATTCTGTAACTATACGATTTACAGATATTTATTGCAATGGGTTAAGCAGCAAAAAACTTGTACATATATGTAGAACATGCAAAATATTTATTAAAGGAACTGTAGTTTAATATTCTTACAACCTACTATCTATTATCAGATATTAAAATAAGGTGGGGCAATATTTAGGCTGCAGAATCATAGAATCGTAGAATGGCCTGGGGTGGACGGGACCTTAGAGACCATCTAATCCAACATCCCTGTCGTGAGCAGGGACACCTCTAAACTAGATCAGGCTACTCAAGGTTTTATTTTTGTTACTTCATTTTCTCTTATTTTTTCTTATGCATTTTTAAACAGTCCTAAGTAACCACAAAACCCCCTCAAATATTTTATATCCTATAATGTGAACTGAAGAATAAAAATTAGAGATTTGTGAAACTATGGGCTGTGACGTAATTCTAGACTGAGTCTAGGACTCAAATTGCAGCTTTTTGTAAAGCTAACTCCTGTGTCAGATTTTTTCTTCCTTTCTTTGAAATTATAGACCATTTTTCTGCTCTTCAAAACAATATAAAAATAATTAGTCAAGAAAAGATATCAGAACAGAAAGGTAAAGTTATCAGTGTATGCGTTAGATTGTTCAGTAAAATTCCAGCCAGTAAAAATAACTTTTGCAGCTAGATATTTATTTTAAATCTCTAAAATATATTTGTTTTATCTAGAAAATGTTATTTTCACAAGAATAAGGTATTTTATAATTTCATCTGAAAATATCTCTCAGCAAAAAAATATAAAAATTGCTTCAGTTTATTGAGTGTTTTGTTTCCAAGTTTTGTTGGATTGATGACAAAATGACGTGAAAG